AGGTCCCTTCCAGCCCTAATGTCTACGAAATCTATGAACCTACCCCTGGGACCGGGGAGAGCTAGCACCCGTGTCTCCCCCACGTGAGGTGGAGACCCTGCAGCCTCACAGGCGTGTTGCCAAGGTCAACACAGAACAGCGGTACAGGCAGAACCTTTGCTTGGGGTGAAGCCGCTGCGCGAGAAGTGTTACCTGTCAGCGTATCTCAGGGTGTTCAGGGTGTATTCACAAGAGCTCATGCCAGGTGAAATCATGGCGATCTGCAAATACACGGGAGGTTGTTACAGGCCACGTGGTCTCCTGCCGGCGAGACAATATGGGGCAAACATCCCAGGCAGACGGCTTAGTGACCTGCTGTTTTACAGCCTGGGTTCAGACATGACTTCTTCCTTCTAAAGCTAGGGTGTGAAACTTGGGCTGCATGGATTAGTGGCGGGCTAGTCTGTGGGCTGGATCAGGCCTGCAGATTGTCCCTGCATGCTGGATCCACAGCATGGGGCTGGTTCAGTACAGGTGCCACAGGTAGCTTATGCCCTGGACCAGCCCCCAAACGCCGCCAGCAGCGTGCACCCCAGACCAGCCGTATGCTCCCAGTCCAGGACAGACCCCAGCTGGGACAAACAGGCAGCACTGGGGGCTGGGTGCCAGGGCTCTGTAGACTGGATCTTTGACCCCCAAGTCATTCAATTCCTAGACCTCAACTTAATCAGCTCTTCACCCTTCCTTGCTATAATCCAGGCTCCTGTTGTACGTCGTCTGGCAGCAAGAGACTTCCAAGCTGGGGAAACTGGGTTCTACATCCAGCCCTGCTATTTGCTGGCTTTTTTCGCCTTGGGGAACTGAACTGTGGCACAGCGAGACACCTGCCACCTCTCCACAGGGCCTGGAGTGCAAAGAGCTCCACCAGTTCAGCATTCAGTACTGGTGGGAGCACCTTGCTCCAGTCCCGGTTCCGCTGTCGCAGGCCAGCAGGCACTTAGTAAACTTGTTGGTGTGGGAGCTATTCCTTCTGGCTTCTGCAGGGGGTTGATAACTAAACTCTGAATGCAGAGTGGCTCTTGGTGGCATCAGCCAGAAGGAACTAGCTCAGCTGGGGAAGTTTCCAGGGAAGAAAATTGAATCTTTCACCAGCAAAGATTTGGGCTGGCGTCATTAAGAAAGGTCCGGTCACTTTTAGACACCTGCTTTTCTGAGTGATCAGCTGCCTAAATCCGATAGGTTTAGGAGCTCGAATCAGACACTGGGTTTGTCCACGAAGTGCTGTGCTCACCATGCAGGTCCGGGAGTTGGAGCCTATAAAGGAGTCCCGCAGCACCTGGGTCAGCTTGCTCTCCCGGAATGGCGTGTGGGACTTGTTCTGGCCGAGCGCGCGGATGCACTCCTAGGAAATAAACCATGGGAGCCTCGTCAATGCAGCGTCTCCCGCCAGCACACTGTGGTGCTAGACAGCTGCTGTGGCACCACCCCAAGGGCTCTATCAGGGTCCAGGTCCACTGGGTAGAGACTCTGGCAGTGACACTGTGGCCCCAAAGAGCTTCTCAATCTGCAGGAGCTCCACGCAATGGCTTAACTGCTTTGGCTTTCACACACAGTCGCCTTGAGCACTGCATGGCACTGCTGCTGTCGGGGAGTCCTGCACACCCCTCACCCCTTTCTGCTGTGCTGGGTATGTTCCTACAGTCCTCCTCACAGATGCTTTGTGAACTGGGCTGAACTGCTTCTGCGATCAACAACCAGCATGCAAGAGGAGCAGGGACAGTTTCACGGGAGATGCATAGGGCAGCGACCACTCGGTGCTAAAGCGACCGCAGGAAAGAACAAGGGTCACAGGTCGTGACTCGGTTTCCCTGCTCGACTGGCCAAGAGATCGTTCTCTCAAAGAAATGGGCAGGAATACAGACATCTGACCTGTATAAGACTCCACATGACGGCATAGGGCTGGGAGTCCCAAACTTGCCTCAGACCATGAGAATGGATTCTGAGGGGCCAGCGAGCGTGTCTGTTCTCCTCTGTTTGCAGCTGCTCTTGGTAATGATGCCCAATTGCCAATACCCCAGTAAGCTGGTGTCTAGTTCAGAGGACCTGGCTTTGGCTTCTTTTGTATTTATCCAGATAAAAATAAAAGCTGCCAGAGACATCCCAAGCGTGACAGCATCACCATTCTCTGCCCTCCAACATTACACCGTGACTGCTAACAAGCCACGTGGCTTAAGCGCAGAGACGGGCAGGCCCTTGGAGGACTTTTTTCCTCTGTCTCCGTGTACAAGTGTTCCATAAGAAACTGCTCTGTGCTGGGAAGACTGTGCCGGTCACACTATGCCAAGCCAAGAGGGCGCCCCCATCTAGGCACGGCTCTTATGGGTGACTGCCTACCTTCAGGGCCAGCAGGCTCTTGTTGATCTCTGCCCCTTCCATACGCGTCTGCCGGTCGGCGCTGGAGGTATCCGCACCCCGCTCGTTCCCAGCCAAGTCCACCAAGGAAAACTTGCCGTGAAGCTTCCCACGGCGGCGGAGGAGGATCTGGAAGCAGGCGTGGGACCGGGAGGAGCTGGAGTTCGCAAAGGTCTGCCCAGATGTCCTGCAGGGAGGGATACAAAGACAGGAGGAGTTCAGGAGTCAAGACATCTCTGGGGTGAGCACTAGGAGAGCTGGCCTCAAGTTACACAGCCAGACAGAGAGTGACACGGTCTAGCTGCCTTGCCCGTTATTTCACGCAGGCTAATACAAGATGTGACCAATGCCCGATTCCTGCAGCTCAATTCAATCCACTCCTAACCCCTCCTTCCAGACCCTCCCAAGCCCACCACTCTCTATCCTGGCTGTGCTTTGAACTTCTCATTGACCCATTCAGACCTGGAAGCCGCGCACTGCAGGCTGTCCCTCCCATAGAGGAGTGTTTCTCCTGGGCAGCACTTCTGACCCACCAGGTCCAGGCTCCGGCTCAGCCCCTTGTGCTACACAATGGGCCCCATCACCTCTTTGTTACCAGCCCTTGCTCTCCTGAGGAAGTGGAGTTGGCCCATCACCCCAGTCCTGCACTACAAGTCCTCACAGGGCCTGGCACCAGGGATGGGATCTGCTTTCCCTTGGCCTCTTAAACCAATCCATTCCCCTACTGGCTGTTAGTGGCCAGCCCAAACCCAGCCCGCATCCCTCATGTGTCAGGTCTACACAGTGCAGAGCCCGGTGCGGTTTGCTGCAAACGCACCCGTTAGACTTGCAGGCTGGACTGAAGCTCTTCATAGTTTGCGAGCACTGGAGACTCACCAGGGTCGGTTTGGGTTTGCTACTGGCTTCGGTGAGCATGTATATATTTAGCTAAGAGGCACGTGAGCTACTGAAAGCCCCCCTACCCCCAATCTTCAAATCTCCATAACCGTTACTAGGAAGGGGGTCATATCAGTCAAATCAAATGCTGCTTGCTGCCAAAAGAGATGGTAGGGTCACCTCCCCACCCTTCCCTCAGGGAACTGGGTAAGAAAAAGCTCTACAGATGGGACTGCCTTTGGAAGTAGAGTTTGGAAGTAGGTTTTTTAAGAGCAGTTTGTGCTTCAGCCTCAGAGCACAAGGAGGAGAGGCTCACATCTGGAGTGCAATACCGACTGCCTTCGCCAAAGCAAGCTGCAAACAGGCTGGAAGGGCAATGCGCTGTCCCGGGAGCCTGGCCAGCTGCTGGTTACCATCTCACCTGAGGAGATGCTTCTCACAGCGGCACAGGGCAGACAGCAGCCACACAGGCCAAAAGCCTGAAGTTGTGCTGCCCCTCCTGACCCTAGGGCAAGCAGGGCCTCAGCTCTCGGCTGCCAAGTGAGGTCTGTGCTGCAGCGTGTCCGACAGGCCTCGAGAAGCTCCTGATAGGCAGGTGCTGACCGAGAGGCCTTTAAGGAGACAGACAGAGGCCTCCTACAGGCTTTTCATAAAACAAGCCACCCCTTATAGTATGTGTGCCCTGGCCTTGTACCATACTGACTGATCTTACTCCCCTGGGAACTGAAGGGTGTACTTATCACAGGAGAGTGTTGTTAGCCAACTCCCATCTGAAGCCTGGTCAAGCGGCCAAAGTTATGGATGGTCCAGTTCTAATAGGAGCTAGAAAGAAACTGCTGCTTCCTCTGGAGACAAACCTGCAGGCACTGCCCATCTCGATCATCCTGATGACATCCTCAGCACAGCCGACCTGGTGCTCTTGGAGGCCGACCACCTGGACCTGCTGCTTGCCATCTTCCAGCACCCGGAGCTTTGCCTTCTTGTTCAGTAGGTCGAACACCTGGATTGAAGCACAAAGATGGTTCCTTTCCTTGGGTCCATCTCCCTACCCACGTCTTGAAGGGAAGCAAAGCCCAGTGCCACAGCGGCAGACCAGCAACACATCACCCAAACTTCCCCATTAAATCCTTCCAGAAGCACAAAAGACCCAGCACCCAACAGGGATGTGCAAGCAGGAGGTAAAAAATGCACCAAATACAAATAAGTGATTTAAGTTACAGATATGCAGTGTCTCACCTTCCCATTATAGATTTCAAAGAACGTCACATAGACTTCCAGGCTCAGGTTCCTGTACCGTGACTGGCTCTGGAGGAGGAAGACGTCCCGTGCTAACAGGGAAAGGAGGCAGTAGTCAGCTAGATCACAGACCAGTCCCAGCTGCATCCTTACATATATTTTTATTCGTAAGGACCTTCAAAGGTCTTACAGGCTTCACTATAATAGATATGACCCAAGCACACACGTGTGTACATGCACAGAGACGCACTGGTTTCTAGTTCAAATCCTTAGAAGGAACTTACATGCAAACGCATAGATCCCCTTGGAAGCATTCTGAGCTCTCCCTGAGAAATCTCCTCCCATGGTCTATAAAATAAAGGCAGGTCGTTACTGAGAAGTCAGGCTAGAAAGATACAGCACCCCCCACAATATATTGCACTCTGAGCCATGGACAAACGTAACCTGCAGAAATGGAGATCCCGTCTATAGCATGTGCATGTAAAAACACACCTCATCTCATGCAAGTATTAGGGCCTCTACACCCCTCCAGGACACATGACATGTGATCCTCACACCTCAATGTGTAGGCTGGCACCCTAGTCTCATAGGCTGGGGACTGTAACATGACCAAGATGCCAGAGCTAGGGGTCGTAACATGAAACTAGCAGGGAAGGAGTTTAAAATTGACACCAGGAAGTTTTTTCCCCCCAGTGTGTCACTGATGTGTGGGACTCATTTCCACTAGATGTGGTAGAAGCCAAGAGTGTAGCCAAATTCACCATGGGACTGGACCCATGCTTGGAGGAAAAGGGCATCAGTAGCCATTGAGCCTGGGAGTGAGAGGCATGGCCTCTGCATCAGACCTTAAATGCTGGAGGCTGCAAGGGAGAGAGGAACAGAGGGAAACCCTGCTCAGCCCATCACTCTCCCTCCAGCCTCTGCCACCATGTGACACAGGAGACTAGCCAAGATGGACCTAGGGTCCGACCCAGGACAGGGCAGTGCTTATGCTGTCATACTGAAATGTGCCAATTTGAGACAGAGCCCTGGATAACGGATCCCCCTGCTCTTCACAGGCTGCATGGTTAGAGTCAGCCGTACAACTTTTCCTGCCCACCAAAAGGCAGCAACTGCTGCCTTCCATTGTAGAGTCAACATTATTGGCCCATCTGCTGACAAGTGACCTGTCTCCCCCACGTGCCAATTCAGTTCCAAGTTCAATAACTGTGTCTACAAAACTCCATAAGCCATGAGACGCTCACCAGGCCAGGATCCTCCCTTCCACGTCCACAGGTCTGGGGGTTCAGATACTCTGCCTATTCAGTCAGGCATTCTGTATGCAAGCCCCAGGTCCAGAGACCTGGGAGTTCGGATGCCCCCAGGCACACTTGATCTTAGCCAAGTGGCCTATTGCTGTCATTTTAGAGGATGATAGTTGCATAGTAGGTAGGGTCGGGAGGGACCTGAGCAGATCGTCAAGTCTGACCCCCTGCCGCGGGCAGGAAAGGATGCCGGGGTGAAACGACCCCAGCGAGATGTTCATCCAGCCTCCTTTTGATAAAAGAAGAAGATGCAGTTTCTAGAGGAAGTCACTTAGGAGTAACATAGCATTGCACCAGGTAGGTTGGGACAACTAGAGACACTGCAAACCCAAGCACTTACATGCGTTTTGCCACTGCCCGTTTGGCCATATGCAAAACACGTGGCCTTCCCGCCCTCAAAGATCGTCTGCACGAGAGGCCTTGCGGTGAACCTGGGAATTCAGAACACAAAACCTAGAGCTCAGTGGGGGCAGATGACAGGACACTGAGCAATGGGCTCCAGCTACAGCAAGGGAAGTTGAGGTTAGATATTAAGAAAACACTCTCTCCCATGGAGGGTCATAAAACACTGCAACAGGCTCCCCAGAGAGGTGGTGGAGTCTCCATCCTTGCACGTGTTTAAGACCCGGGTAGACAAAACCTTGGTTGGGATGATGTAGCTGGGGCTGGTCCTGCTTGGAGCAGGGGGCTGGACTAAATGTGACCTCCTGAGGTTCCTTCCAGCCCTCATTGTCTGTGATTATGTGACTCTATAAAGACAAAAGTAAAGCACAGTGGAGGCCATTTCCTCCCAGGAATCCCAACAAAACAAACGATGCCAGGAGTTAAAAAAACACTCAGGGTCAGGCGGATGCTGCATTGGGGTCAGGAAGGAATTTCCCCCCTGGTCAGACTGGTATGGACTGGGATGGGGTCAGGGCAGGGGGGTTGATTTCTTCTGTGGCAGGGGCATGGCCTCTGCCTGGGATCTCTTGAGTGTATATTAACAAAGTTTGGAGCAGCGGGACATGAGCTGCCGTGGTCCCCTGCTTTCCCCGTGGCAGGTCTGGGTGCGATGCCTTGTGTTGTGTCAGGGCTGACTAGTTCTGCTAAGAGTCTGGGCAGTAGATTTCTATGGGATGGTTTGGATAGGGCTGGGCCTGCGTGGGGTGGAGGGCTGGACCAGATGACCTCTGGAGGGCCCTTCCAGCCCGATTTCTCTTGGACTATGACTGAAACTTCACTAAGAGCCTTAACGGACGTACAGTCTGCTGGTTTCTAACCAAATCAGGGGTAGTCAGATGTGACCGTACAAGCACCTGTAGATCGAATGCCCCTAACTACATAACCAGAGACAGCTGCTTTCAGTTGACTCATGAGACAGACTACATCTCATGGTGGAGACAGACTAAGTCGTCTGCCTCCACCAAGTGGCAAAGTCCATTACCTATACACCATCTCGTTGGAGGCCGTTTCATCAAATGAGTAGTCAAATTTGAAGGCTTGGTTTTCCAGGTACTTGGTGAGGTCCACCTTCAACTTGGGCTCGTGCACCAGCAGGACGTTCTTGCTGGGAACTGTGATCACGTCACATTCCTTCTTGAGACGCTCTGTTGAGGGCAATGTTCGGTACGTCATGCGAAGAAGGCCATGTCCAACCCCGCTCAAAGCACAGGGCAGACTTCACCCATACACACTTACCTTGCTTATTGAGGGGCCGCTTCCTCACACAGACACAAATCCTGTGTTCTTCTATCTGGAGGAGAAGGATGACAGGTTACCAGAGACCGAGCAGACAGCTCCAGGACTCCCCAGTCATGTATGTGCTGTCTCAGGCTGAGCCTATGCCATGGAGTAGCTGCTGCTCAAACTATGGCAGCAGTGCTCAGGCAATGGGGCTGCTGGGGAGGACACAGCTTTGCTGGAAAGAACTTTTCTGCTGCTCGAGATTCACCTGCTCCTGAAAAGCGACAGCCGCTCTGCTGCGTGATCCCTTCCAACCAAGCCCTGCCAGCAGCCATCCATCATGAGAGACTGATCCAAAAAAGAGGAGCTGTTTTTTGCAGCCACTGGGCTGAATTCAGCCCATACAAGACTCCACAGATTCGGTAGCCCATAAGGGCTGGCTTTGATCCTATCGGTTTGCAGGCAGTGTGGGGGGGAGCTGACTAGAGGAAAGCGCTAGCCAAATGCCTGTGGCTTGTACAAACATGATGCTGGCTGTAGATCGCAGAATCATAGAAAACCAGGGTTGAAGAGAGCTCAGGAGGTCACATCTAGTCCAACCCCTGCTCCAAGCAGGACCAGTCCCAACTACATCATCCCAGCCAAGGCTTTGTCTACCAAGGTCTTCAAAACCTCCAAGGATGGAGATTGCACCACCTCTCTGGGTAACCTGTTCCAGTGCTTCACCACCCTCCTAGTGAAAGTTTTTCCTAATATCCAACCTCAACTTCCCTTGCTGCAGCTTGAGCCCATTGCTCCTTGCTCTGTATCTGCCCCCACTGAGAACAGTCCAGCTCCATCCTCTTTGCAGCCCCCTGCAGGGAGATGAACATAAACCAAGAATCCCCCTCGGTCTTCTCTTCTCCAGACTGAATCAGCCCAGTTTCCTCTCCTCACCAGTCATGACCCCCAACCCCCAAACCATTTTGTTGCCCTCCGCTGGACTTTCTCCAATGTGTCCACATCCTTTCTGTAGTGGGGGGACCACAACTGGACACAGGACTTCAGATGTGGCCTCCCCAGTGCTGAACAGAATCACTGCCCTCGATCTGCTGGCAGCGCTCCTCCCAGTGCAGCCCAGGATGCCGGTAGCCTTCTTGGCAACTGCTGGCTTCTGTTCAGCTTCTTGTCCCCCGTTCCCCCAGGTCCTTTTCTGCAGAGCTGCTGCCCAGCCAGTTGGTCCCCAGCCTGTCCCAGTGCATGGGACTGCTCCGTCCTAAGTGCAGGACTTTGCACTTATCTTTACTGAACTGCACAAGATTTCTTTTGGTCCAATCCTGCCTCGCAGGAGATGCCTTTGCCCCAATCACCCGTTATGCAGCTTGCTGCGCAGCAATGGAACACTACATGTGGTGGTCTGGAGTACAGCTTTGTCACCCCAGCCTGAGTCCAACACAAGAAGATCACTCCAGCTATCTGGGTGTTTAATGAAAGCTCGAGCAACTCCAGAGGTGATGCAACCCCCTTCACTGCTTTGTCCACTGACCTGGTTTGAACGTTACCCTTAATGTTTAGCCCACAGCTCTGGTGCAATAGAAACAAGCTCAGCCAGTCGAGCATGGTGGGACTCTGTTCTAGCTCGTCCATACTTCTACTAAGTTACGCTAAGCAAGGCCAACGTTTCTGGCCAGGTTGTAGCCCCAGCCACAGCCACAGCATGATGAAAGGTAGACTCCCGTGGTATTTCCATGGCAGTTGGTGCCAATATCAACTCACCGGATCATCCATGGATATGGGCCGACAGGCCAAAGTCGCTTGGACTTCTTTGATCATTCGTGCAAATTCCCAGTTCGGGCAGCTGCTGTCGAATTCCTGCGGGTCAATGACAGGCAATAAGGTACTTCAGCTGCTACAGGCCACAGCCAAGAGGGTGTCAAATACCAACACTAGGTGCCCTGGTCTGTAGAGGAACCCCATGGTGCTGCAAATCACCTGCTGGAACATTTAAGGCCAGGCAGGGAGACTTGTCCCATGCAGCAGGAAAGACAGCTTCCAAGGAGCTCTGCAATTGCATTCTGCTGCTGTTCCTCCTCACTGCCTACATCCACTTCCCTCCACCAAGACACCTGAGATTTCCCACTTCCAGCCCACTGCTGCCTCACGGTACCACCACATCCAGCGTGCTGGCCCCGTACAAAGCACAGCACAGCACAGCAACACTGGAGTTGGCAAGGGCTCCACCATGCTGACAAAGATGCCACACTATAGAAAACTAAGGACAGTCAACCCAGCATTGAGCCAGCTCCCTGCTTTTTCTAGGGCCATGATTCTCAGCCAAGGTATTGCGGTATGATGGGGTGCCTGGAGATCCTTTCAAGAGTGCCAAGCAGTGTTTGCACTGTTAGGATTCACAAGATAACCCCAGATTTCATTTAGGAATCTATATTGCTAAAGTCATTCTGCCCGGCTAGGGCTTGCTCAGCTCTTTGCAATGGGAGAATTCCTCTAATATTTTTTTCTGTAGTCAAAAAAAAGGAGTGAGAACACAGAGCTGGCATTTCCCAAGGGGTGTCTTGTATTTAAGAGGTTGAGAACCACTGATCCAGGGAGGATAGCAGGAGAATCCTGCACCAGCAGCTCTCCCTTGTGAGGTTTCATCTGGCCAAGAGAAGAGAGGCCATGCAGTAGGAATCTAGCACGGTCTACAGCCTCATTATCTGGTTACAAGCTCTGTAACCATATAACTAGCTCAGCTTGATCTGCCTGCCCTGCGATGAGGTTTGCCAGCAGCCTGCCTTATGCCGTCAACAAGCTCCAGAGCTGCACTTGGCACCAGGCTGCTTTCTAGGGCTAGCAGTGGTTAGTAGAGTTAGCTCAGCTCAGAGACCCAGTGGAGCCAGGTGGAGTCTACTGGCGCAGCAAAACACCTGCAAGAACATTGTGAAGCTCCACCTGCTGCAGCGATCCCTGGACCGGCAGAAAAAAAAATGGTCAGGGAATTAACAACCCTCCCCCAACGTCCAAAAATCAACTACCTGAGATTCCTAAAGAGATTCTATCCACGAGAAGAACCCTTTAAAGAGTGCAAAGTGATCCAAAAAACCCACGTTCGATATCCAGCTTGCCCAATATGCATACGCTAACCCGGTTTCTCCGTTCACTCTGTTTTATAAGCACCTGTGCCCGTTTCGTCCTGATCTCACTGTTCTGAGCTCTCTTCTCTTCCCTCTTGTTCTTCATCTTCTCCATCTCTTTCACGATATTAGATTTCCTCCGAACTGGGAAAAAAAGGACATATCCATCACCCCTGAAAAGCAGTCCCGACTGAAAAGAACCCCCCACCCTTTGTCTAGGCCTAGGTTAATGACATCCCATTTGCACAGGACCCTATCTTCTAGACAGCAATCCTTTGGTGGGTTCTGCTTTCAGTGCTGCCTTCCCAGAAGACATCTACTTTGAGAAACCAGTTCGAGAGCCGGCACGTCCAAACAGATGTAGGTTGACAGCAAAATGACATTTTAACTGGAAGCAACCAAGGGGTGTTTTCTCACCCCTAAGGCACTCTTAAGTGAAGGTTGCCTCGAGTATAGGAAAACCAAGCCCCAACAGATGCTGCTGCAATGCTGATCAACAAGCCCACCCTCCTCCCACTGCTCCCTGTACCTGGATACGAGGAAGAGCTGCTCCTGGCAGGGGGCAGATGCTCTTCCACCATTTCGTTTGCTAGCGAGGATTCTGTAGCGCAACGCTGCCTGCTAACCCGGGTTCGACTGATGGCTGAAGGGAAGTGCAGCAATGGAAGAGCATTGATCAGGCCTCAGAAGCAAGGACAGATGGTTTCCGTGTGCAAAACCCAGAGGGCAGAGAGGGTTCAGGGAAAGGGGAAGAGAAAAGAGGTTTGTGCCATGAGAGTTTGGGCCAAACAACAAAGGGCACAACCATAAAAAAGCACAAGGGCCATTCTCACCCGTGCTAGGGCAGGGGGTGACAACCCTTTATGAGCAGCAGCCGTGCGAGCTGAGCTCGTTCCAAAGCAGGCCATGACACTCATGACCCAGCGGCTGCTCCCCTGCACCGCTCAAGTCCTGGCTCCACGGGCCGTGTGACATCACTTAGCAGGCCGGGTCCGACCCATGGGCTGTAGCTTGCTGACTCCCACGTTGGGGTACTGCAGAATTCAGGTGCAAGACTGGCCTTTATGCTGCTGTACAACTCATTTATAGGGACACGCTGCCTTCAGTTTAACAACCACGTGGCATTTTCATGTAGCCCCCCAGGCTCCCACCCAGCTGCCACTTGCTCCATCACTCTGGCTGCAGCTGCAGCAGCAGCAGCAGGGGTCTCCAGGCTCCCCACTCTCTCCCTCAGCTGCTGCTTCCTGCCCCCATCCCAGAGGGCTGGGGCAGGGCGGCACAGCCTGTGATACTAAGGGACCTGACAGCCTGGAGCACCCGTGCTCACTGAAAAAAGCAGAAGAGAGGACATAGCCTGTGACCAGGGAGCTGAGGGTAAGGCCAGGGCATGGGGAGTGCAGCAGCAGGGGTGCCTGCCTGTGCAGCCTCCGGTGGCTTAGAAGTCAGACAACCCTGCTTTAGGCAACAAGTGTATTAACGGTGTGATCACATAGCATCATTAGCTGCCTGTGCACCTGCAGTCTTCCCCTGGCCAGCCAGAGGTCTGCCAAGCCCAAGAACTGCAGCTAGTGACACTTGGTTATGCAGCCCTGATAAACTGACATCAGGTTTACTCCTGGGCGTGTGAACTATTGGCAACATTTACCTCCGTCGCATGAGGAGACTCTGCTAGCTGCCTCGAGACCCTCATCAATGGGCAGAACCTGCTTTCCAGCCGGGCACCAGCCTCTCACAACCCGTCCCGCCCTGCATGCAAAGCATTTACCAGCTGGCCACTCACCCGGAGCTGCCGCAGCGTTTCTTGCTTGCATTGAAGTGGAAGGATCCACCTCCATCTCATTTTCTTGGAGCCTGCCCTGCGCCTCTGTGATGACAGACATCCTGGTGACTCTCCCACGCACGGCTGCGAGGACAAGGAAAACGAGGTCAGTGTTTGTGGGCACTGGGCATGGAAAAGGCCCGCGTAGCACACGGCAGTACAGAACCTAATGTGGTTACAGCAATGGCGGCAGCATCTTGGAGGCTTTAGAGAAGTGAGGGAGGTGCAGTGGTGAGCCAGCCAGGCAGCTGGGTGAAAGGTGCTCATGGGGGTGCCAGCAGCGGAAGACAAGACCACTCAGATGGGACCTGCAGACCCGAGGGACCCCCTCCCTTGTCCCACTTGGCTCAGAGAATGCCAGGATTCATTAGCTGCAGTTCACGAGCTGCCATTCACCAAGGGGGCAATTCAGAGGCTCAGGGTACTGGGAATCGCCCACAGAGCCTCGCACATACAGGCTGGCAGATGGGCTCTGTGGTGACGAAGGGGCTGCAGTCCAGCAGCTGAAAGGAGCATGGCTCTCTTGGCAACAGGCCTCCCCTGCCCAGATGTGCCCCACCACCTGGCATCCTTGAAGTCCTTGTGCTGTCATTCTCCTTCAGCAGCCAATGACTGCCCCTCTCGCTCTCCTGCCAGGTCTGGCATGAGGAAGCTGCTCCGGGGAAGCACTGTGCCCATCACCACTGCTGCAGCAATGCCCCCTTCACTTAACAGCTGTGGAGTTACTGCCTCTGTGATAGCACTGCACTGCCCCAACAAGCTACTGGATAAATACAAGGAACATCCTCATGCTCATTCAAGACAGCAGCCAGCTTCCTACTTGGAGGAGTTCCGGGAGCTTCTCAACACTGGTGCCTTGGCTTAGGATTAGGATTGCGTCAGAGACCCTCGCAGGGAGCCCAGCCTGGGCAGCTGCACCTGCCTTGGGCTTCTGGCTGAAAAGCACTGCCCAGCTAGTTGACCAGCTTGCCTTCCTGAGCCAACAGGTCTGAGCTAGCCTGCTGCGGCCAGCCTCCTGGTCCCCGCTCCATCCCCGGACTCCAACTTTGGACCCATCTCCTGACCCTGCTTGGCTCTGTTCTTGGTTGATAACTTGGCATCTGATTCCCAGACACTGCCCCTGGCTCATGCTGTGGACTCCCCCTGGATTTCCTTCCAAATCTGGTAATTTGGCTCCTGAACTCTAACCCAGCTTCTGGCTCCTATCTTCCCTCAGTGACCTAACCCCTAGGCCACACTGCCTATGATCTGGCCCCTTCAGACTGTTTGGCAAAGCAAGCATATCAGACTGACAGTCTGCAGTCTAATCTTGGATACCCCATCTGATTGACCAATAATGATGCTGAAGCCAGAGTCAGACCCCTCCCCATTTGCACGTGAAGAATCAAGACTCCTTCCCCAGGTTTATGATTAGCAAGCATTCTGGGTAAGCCCTCTCCACAGCATTGGCAGCTGTGCCTGTGAAACATGCAGACCTCATCAGACCCCTTTACCTGGCAGCTGCTGGTCAGGTTCAGAGACCGTAGGTGTCACTTTTGCAACTTTAGGGACAAAACAGAAGGAGATGTTCATCACAATTGGAAAGAGGAGATGCCACGCATCGCAAGGCACCATTTCCAAACCCAGGCTCGCCAGAGAGCTGGGCAGGAAGGCCACTCTGCTACAGAAAGAAGCTGCATTCAGAGGTGGGGGCAGATTTGGTTCATGGGGTTCTCACAGTACAGGCCACTGCAAAAAGCTTCCAGAATTTACAAGCTTTGGGTTTGAGGCAACGGGGCCCACTGCACCCTGAGGGACTCCTGTTTCCTTATAGAGCTGTAATACCCAAAGCTGGGATTCAGCTTGCTCACCTTTGTGCTACAGGGCTTGAAACAAGGTGAACTCAAGTGGTCTCGAGTGAGATGTGTTGGAGCTAAGGGAAGGCTGAAAACACCCTGCTCTGCGAGCTGGCCTTGCACTTGGAGATGGGGACCGCACGTAGACCACATGCCCAACAGTCACAGGTCTCTGCTCCAGAAGAGCAGTGGGGAGCTTGGGATGGCACATCCCACCTGTCAGGGACTGGCTGCAAAGCCCTTTGTTTCTTCAGCTGGCCATTCGCTTCCAGGAACGGAGCTGCCCAGACAGTCGCTGCTGTGCCCCAAGATACCAACCAGTCCCCAAACTTGATGGAGCAGTCTAGGTTTAAGGCCATTACGGCTGCTGTGACAGATTCACACTGGTCCTGCCCTGCAAGTCACCTTTCCCCTCCAGCATCACACAGGACCGAGGGGCAGGGCAGTGCTCACAGCATGGACTCTCCAAAGAGGACAAATGGTGGCCAACAGGAGGCTTGCATGAACATGGGAATTTCTTCACCCCATCTCTGCCCCTCTCAGCAGCACCCGCTTCCCCTTTCCTCATCCTTTGTATTTAACAGCCCAGCTCAGGTTAGAGGTGGGCAGGGCTAGGACCAGCTTGTAGGTAGTCAACCCCTGCTCTAAGCTGCCAACATACTGTGCCTTCTGCCCGTACATGTGAAGGGGGGGAGTAGGCCTAACTGATGCCCTGCCAAGGCAGGCAACCTTGCAGGGACCGCTCCTCTCCATCTTTTCACACCACTCTCCTCTGCTAAAGTCTGTCCCCAAACCATTTTGGTCTGTGAGCTCAGAGGCTCTGACCTACACAACATTTGTGCACACGTTGGCTAGTCTAGAAAGCCCAGCAAGAGCCAGGCCTCCACTATTTTCTTAGCCGACTGTTCAACAGATGCACGTCCCCTTTTCACTCCTAGTGTTTTCTTTTTGCTTCCATTTTTCTCCCCCATCTTATAGCTCAAAGAAGGTAGCCCTTTCCCTGCTCCGGAGGGCTCCATAGCACCCACTTCCCTTGCACTGGAGAATGGATTGGAACTAGCTGCTGTAAGAATTTGCTTGTAACTTGTGAGTGGAACAGATTAAGTGAGAGCTATGGGAAAAGGCAAGTGACAGCTTACCAGCCCTCCAGTTTGTGTGCTTGCTCACCCACAGAAGCACTAGAGCAGCCTGCTGGCAGAGGGCCTGCACTGGGGCATGAAGGCATCTGAACCCTCTTAAAGGTAATCAATGTACTCAAAGCCTTGTGACTTCTGAACTGAATCTGTAACATTATGTAGGTATCAGCACAAGATCTTGATAATCAGACTGCAGAGACTGGCTTTTGTTGGATCACATTTCTGACACAGGACAAATAGCAGCAGTTCCCAGGACTACAGGAGAGGAGTGGAATCAGACAGTCTTACCTTCGCGCAGGGCAGGGATTTTTGACGATGTTGTTCTTCGCTTGAATGTCTGCAATAAGCAATAGACTGCAGTCACCAAGGGGGATAAGTTCCTAAATCACGTACCACACCTGCGTGTTAGGACAGTGTCACTTACTTAAAAGTGCTCCTTGTCTATTTCAAATGGTAGAACACTCCACAAACCCACCCCACTATAAACCCTACCTGTATATCCATAGGGTTAAAGGGTCAAAGTAGACTTCAAGAAGCAAATACTTATTTTGCTACAGAGGCATTTACATCTCCACCTGCCCCTGCTTGAATTTCAGCACCATGATAAAGTCTGAAGCATTTGAGAGCACTGACCTGGACACCTACATTCTCCTGCAGAGGAAAGTTCTCTTTCACCTCAGAGGGACTAGGAATTTCTTCGACAATCTCAGGATTTATAGCTATTACATCATTAATCTCAATCTAGAAAGGCAAAGACAAGGGTCAGAGAGAAAGGAAAAAAAATTTCCACCAACAAAATGGTAAATATCATAATGCCCCTTTACAAATCCAGGGCACATCCACACCTTGAATGCTGTGCCCAGTTCTGGTTCCCACACTTCAGAAAGGATAAGCCAGAGAAGGGCAACAAGGATGTATGGGGGGACTTCCACATGAGGAGAGACGAGAGCAGGCCTGTCCAGTTTAGAGAAGAGATACTCGAGGGGAGACATAGTGAGAATTACAAAATACTAAATGGCAAAGAGAAAGTGAATAGGGATTTATTATTTATCATCTCTCTCGATACAAGAGCCAGCGGTCGTAACATGAAATGAGCAGGCTGCAAGTTTAAAACTAACACCAGGAAGTGCTTTTTCAACCACTGTGGAATTAAAGGATGGGACTCATTGCCACCAATGTTGCCAAAGCTGACATTTTAACCAGATTCAAAAAGGGACTGGATGAATTCTTGGAGATAAGTGGCATTAGTATCTATGGAGCTCAGGAGTGAGGGGCACAGGCTCTGAATCAGAACTGCCTGAACCCTAAATGCTGGAGGCTGCAAGTGGGAAAGAAACAATGGGAAAAACCCCGCTCAGACCCAGTCACTCTCCCTTCCAGCCTCCGTGCTCTGCCACTGTGTGATGCAGGGCGCTGGGCAAGACAGGCCTGGGGTCTGACCCAGCACACAGCACATCTCATGTTCTGAGCTGTGATGGAAGACTTAACAGCCAAATACCAGGCTTAAACAGATCTGAGCCACCCACCTGCTAGATGAGGAAATTACGGCCTGCTCTGACTAACAACATAGCATTTTAAATCCTGCTCCAACAGTCTGAAATTTAAAAGAAATGGGGTTTTGTTTTACTGTTTTTTCTACCAGGACCTGCCAGTCAGGAGCCACCGGCACTTCTGGAGAGATGGGCAGGACAGGCTCAGCACTAGCTGGTTTAATATCTAGGGCAGGGGTGGACAAAATATGGCTCGTGGGCTGTACCCAGCCTGCCAATCAATCCTATCCAGCCCACCAGCTGCTGCCAGGAGCCTGAGAAGGGAAGGCTGTGCCCCGTGCCGCTCAACTGCAGCGTGCCAACTCCTCCACCCCACCCCAGCTTCCTGTTGGCTCTGCAGGTGTTGGCATCCCCCCGCCCACCCAGCCCAAATAATTGCCCACCCTTGCTCTAGGGGCAGATCTTAGCAAACCCCAGTCACTGCATGATTTTTGCTCCCAGAGAGTGATGCAGGGTTCCAGAAACCCTAAATCCAGGAAACAGCTACTTACACTGAGCTAAATGGAGGACCAAGGTTTAATCTAAGAGCATTTTTTGGACTCCCTCCAGCTGGCTGGAAGCAAGCATGTAAAGTGCTTTCACTTCAGCCCACCTGCTTGACACAGCAGCGACATCATAATCCTGCACTGACAACATTCTCAGCTTTGGAAAAGCGTGATGTCACAAGTGTCCTCAGGGCAGGGGGAAGAAGTGGGGAAAGGATCTGAGAGGATGAAGACTTGGCCATACTGGCTCCTATTTCTAAATCTCCACCTTTTATCAACAGCACAGTGCCAACTTTCAGAGAGTCCATATGCACAGTGCTTGGATGATATATTACTGCAACCTCCGCAGAAATTCAGCTACCCTTGACATTAAAAACAGCACCAATGCTGCACAGAAAGTTCCTATTTTATACAGTCTTTTTAAAAGGCATCACTGGATAAAAATAAAGGCCATACAAAGAGCAAAAAGTCATCATTTAAGCCTGCCAGACAAGTGAAATGGTGCATTATCACCATGCACGCAAAGAAAATTAAAGTACCTATCAAATTTTATGGATTAGACCTCACCTAAAATTAGTCCACTTGAAAATGAAATGGTGTGATGTGCATTCACGCAGGTGGGTGCAGGTTTAGTGCATTTGAGAACTGCCAGCTCTTTCTACAGGCTGCCTGTATGCAACCCATACAGGGTTCAAAACAAGTCCCTTTACTCCTGGAACTGGTCCAACTAAAAATCAATTATATTTACGGAGACAACTATTGGTTATTCGGAAGCTTATGACTCATTAAGTACTGTATAATTAAGGATTTTCTCTGACTACATCCCTTGTCAAAGATCTACTTCTGAGCACTGTGAAGGGTCACATCACACTCACGGATGCAAGAAACTGGAGAAGATGACATCAGGGTCGCTCCTTTTCCCCTTGTTAAAGCCTGGCCTCGCAAGCTCAGTCTGAGGGTCACGGATTCTTGCCACCCAGCTCATCTTTAGAGAGCAAAATAATAGATTGCCAATATCACGTGCCCTCAGCAAAATTGGTGGGTCTATACGAGTATGACAGAGGGTCTAATTTGGCTGGCAAAACCTGGATTGATGGGGATCAGGCAGGATATGCCAAGAACCCAATTCCCTCTTTGAGGCTTTGCCTTCTCCTTCAGGCCTCCACCTGGCTGGCGTGCTTTGTCTTCTGCCTGTGTGCACCCCAGCAGTGTCTCAAGTGCCAGGTAATGCAATTAACAGCTGGAATCCAGCCCAAACACGAGCCAAGCCCCTTTCTGTTGCAGACCTATTTGACTTCCAAGAAACTAGAAATGTCAGCACAGCACTACATTTCAGGGTGGTTTTAATGCAGGACATGTCGCATCGTCAAAAACAACAAACTCAACTCACCATGACATATGGGGGGCTTCTTGGAGGAAACCTGAACAGATTGTTAGGATGACAGAAAAGTATCGCCAGAAGGGACCTCACGAGGCCTGCTCAAGGCAGGATCTTCCCGGACTCACCCATCCCAGCCACGTGTCTGTCCAACCTGCTCTTGAACGTTTCCAAGGATAGAGATGCCACAACCTCGCCGGACAGCCCATTCCAGTGCTTGACCCCACTCAAAGTCAGAAAGTTCCTCCTCATCTCCAACCTCAATTTCCCCTGCTGCAACTTGAGGCTGTTGCTCCTAGTCCTGTCCTTTACAGTCGCAGAGAAAAGCCCATTTCCATCCTCGCTGTCATTGCCCTTCAGGGATCTGAAGACTTATCAACCCCTCACCCCAGTCTTCTTTTCTCCAGGATAAATAACAGGAGCTCTTTCAGCCTTTCCTCGTCAGTCTTGCCTCCCAGGCCCCTAATCATTAGACGCACTGAGCAGCCACATGAAGCTGCTAAACTCATGTAAAATAGGACTTGCCAAGTTCAGCAGTGCCAGCTCACAATGCAAAATGGAAACCCACCATCCTATCAACTCCCCAAGACTTAATAGCACTATAACACCGCTTCAAGGAAGAAGTCACGATGCAGGGACACCTGTAATTGTACAACACAAGAGAGAGGTGAAAGCAGATACATGTAAATTAATAGTAATTTAGATGTATTCTCTCAACTCCCTATAGTCTTATTACAGAAGGCAATGCTCTTTTCCAGTCCATGACAAATGTGGTAAGCATCATCTTCCAGGAGCAAACATAGATTCATCAATGCTAGGGTTTCATAGTTGGTAGGGTAGGGTCGGAAGGGACTTGAGCAGATCATCGAGTCTGACCCCCTGCCACGGCAGGAAAGAGTACTGGGGTCAAACGACCCCAGCAAGGTGTACATCTAGCCTCCTCTTAAAGACCCTCAGGGTAGGAGCCAGCACCACTTCGCTTGGAAGTTGGTTCCAGATCGTAGCTGCCCTGACAGTGAAGTCGCACCTACTGATGTCTAACCTGAATCTCCCCTCTGCCAGCTTGCGACTGTTATTTCTAGTCACTTCTGGTCATGCTCGGGGGAACAGGGACTCCCCCAATGCCTGCTGATCCCCC